TTTCTGATAACATGTCATGACAAAAATTTAGATAAGGAAATTCTCTACAAATAATATAATTGCACAAACTCTGTGTAATCAACGGTTTTCGACATATTGCCGTTTTTTAGTTTTTAACTTATGACGTCATGGCGGCCATATTGGATTTTTTACCTACTTACGATTTAAAAGATTACGAACCCACAAAATTGGAATAATAATAATAAGAAGAAGAATAATAGGAAACCGAACAAAAACAATAGGTCTTTTCACCACTTAGTGAAAAGCCCTAAAAAAAGATAAGCCCCCGCAGAATTGGATGGAACTTTACAAGGAGGTACTGGCTGTGTGGAAATATTAGAGTGGGCTCGTTTGAAGTACTGTTGTCAGCATTACGTTTATGATGTAGGTTCACTTGAAGTAAGAGTTATGAATATTTACATAAACAAAACATTTCCATGACAACTGAAATTCCAAATCACTGAAGTTTTCAAGCCTTGCAATCGCCTTAAGATGGCCGCAAGTTTTTAAAACGTTAGTGATTGTGAATTCTAGTTGCCATGGTAATATTTTGTTTTTATACTTATATATAAGATACGTAAAACATTCCTCTAATTTGAATTCATAACGAGACACTATTCTATCCTATATCCTACACATGCAGACCACGAAATTTAAATTTGTTAAAATATTATTCAACCATTTTGAAAGACAAATGTGAAAATTTTGACTCGTAAAACTTACCAGTTATACGATATTTATATTCCAACAAATATAATAGATATACCCCAAAAACACGTTTCAATATAACTGTTACATGTAACCTTAATTCGCTTCGCAAACAACAAAGTCAACGTTCTCACAACGAGGTCGTTGACGTCACAATACCGATCGCGTGACAATGTTCTGTTAACTATCACGTTATATATCACATATGGCATGCCATTGATCAGCTACTGATGCGAACACTTTATGGTTGTTTGATACGTCGATGTTTTACTGTCGAATCAACAGACAACTTCGTTCAAATTAGGTTTAAGATACGTTAACATCATTGGACTAATGCCCCTATCCATCTCTATTTTGACATTTCTTTCGATCACTTTGGATTTCCCTCAGTAGTCTTCTTGGCTTCTGAAGTTGAGCCTCTACCATCACTAACAAATCCTTCAAGGACGAAATAGCGGTATGATGCAGTTTGGCTCTACTGTATCTAACTCTAAATTTGTATTTAAAGGTGCTATTCACTTGTGTGTATTTTGTACAGTCTTCTAACATTCAACATGAGGCTGTCGTGCCGAATCTTTGACAAAGCCGATATACAGCCGACAAACAACAGCGCTTTGTAACATCAGTCCAACAATATCACACGAATATTAAACTTCATGGGACTTTTGGATCGGGGAACTTTAAAATGCATTTCAAGATGTCGTTGTTGGCGACGATGTCGATCATGGACCTGACCTACAATAACAGTTGACTTCGAACATAAGCGTAATGTTGAAGGCAAGTTTCAGCTAAATCAGGAGAGACGCTACAAATGTAACATGACGAAGGACGCCGGGCGAAGCGTGATGTAAAACAACATAAAATTCGACAAAAATCTGCAGATAAATACCGAGTTAATTACCCAAGTTTTTCTTATACTTTCTATTTCTTTAAGTTGACATTCTGTGTTATATTCTACCTATATCTCAGAGCAAACATATGTCCATTCTCAACAACGCAACACTAGCGCAAACAGAAGGCCATTAATTGTAAAGTCAAAAGTCAAGCTGATGGAGACAGACAGGAGAGGCTTGGTCGTTACTGCATACATGAGCATGGCCTTAATACCCCCCCCCCCTTTTTTTTTTTATCTGATTTAGTTAAAAATGGAATACATATTCTGAAGGGGGATGGGGGGTGTGGGGTGTGTGTGTGTGTGGGGGGGTGGGGGTGGGGGAGGGTGGGTTCAAATATTTGAAACGCTAAATGGTTTCAACTAGAGGTTATGAACTTCGTTTCGAACTTGTCAGCCAAGGACAGAATACTGTAAACATAAATCTTAAGAGGTTATCTGATTCTAGCGCTTTTTGTACAAAAAATATTGAGCTAAAATATGACTCCGTTATTTGCAGTTTCTGTTTGTTGTTTAGATAAATCTTGTGCATGGGTTGCTCCATCACTAAGCAAAAATATCAAACACTAAAAATGTGCTAAATTTTGTGGTACCAGGTGATTTCGGAGGAGAGATAAGTTAAACTGTATTCTTACAACGGATTTAAATTCATGCATTAATTTAGAGGTATATGTATGAGTTATGCAAGCACAACTAACAGGAGTAAAAATAAAATTGATTAATGATCCCCGAAAATGACTTTAATGGACACAAAATTTAATCAAAGGGCAATAATTCTGTAAATTAGAAGTAGACCCTGGGTTTGGTATACAACCCATTCTCTAAGTATGATCAATGTATACACCAAGTTTCTATAACTCCTAACTGATGCAAAAGAGAGGCATGGTTATTGTACACTGCATTTCTCCTCATCCAGATCTATCTTTCCATGAACTTTTATGTTGATACTTGATATAGTGCGTATGATCTGCTCCGGACAAAATCATCATGGACGGGCAGACGGACAAAGTGCCGACTATATGCTCCCCCTTCGGGAAGCATAATTGAAACACTGATAAATATAAAGAAATTGACAATATGTTTCACAACTTTCCTAGAAGAGAGGACATCCGGGCGGGGTTCATTTCTATATCAACCACAAAATCAATTTAGCGGGGATACAAATCTGTGTACCATTTCAGTTAATAGATAGTAAATATAAAGACTGCAGTGCTAAAACTGAACACCAGCAAGCTACGTAACGTTATTCGATATTTAAAATGCTGGAAGCGACAACACTATCGAAAAATCTCATCACTTCGACATGTCCTGCTAATGTAGTTGGCAAACTACCATTGTAACAGACACCGATTCTCTCAAGTTGAGGCCATATGATGCGCTTGATCTCCATTATGATGGTCGACACTACTGTACGGCTAAGGTTTCACGTATATAGGTCTAACACTCCATTATGATGGTCGACACTACTGTACGGCTAAGGTTTCACGTATATAGGTCTAACAACACGAGATGGAATGGCAAAATATGTAAACTGGCCTTCAATATGACACCAAGGAAATTCTACAATCGTATGAAACAACACCCAACACGTGTTTCAGTGCGTATGAAGATTGGTGGGAGAATAAACAATTTTAGAAAGTGTAGTCTTGACTTGAAATAAGCCCAGTCTGGACGAGAAAGTCTGCATTTCTCTTATTATGAAATATCAACTTTTTATGTAAAGACATTCCTGACAGATATCAACCATCACGTGAAAACTATCACGTTTTCCTCTTTCGAAGGCCATTGTACTAACATTATGGTAATGTTAAAGGAGAATGATACAAGTACAAATTCTGAGCTATCACTCCAGGACTCCAGCGAGACTTTCAACCCTCTAAGGACGTCCACGACCACCTCTTCCTCTATCATTTTTGTTTTATAACATAATGCCCAAAGAATGGCCCAACTTATATTTTACTCGATTGGTCCTGATAAGAGTCCGTCTTAAACAATTCATATTTCTCTAAATCTAGAAATCCAGTAGAGCATCTCTATCTCCCTCTTCTGTCTCCCCCGCTTTCTCTCTGTCTCTCCCTCTCTGTCTTTCCCTCTTTCTCTCTCTGTCTATCTCTCTCTCCATCGTCATTGTCTTCGTTCGCTACAAATAAAAACAAAACAAGAAAAAAATGTATTTAAATTCGGTGGCCTGCAATAAATAAAAAAAAATTTAATTCGATTGCTGCGTCTCCTCCGAGTTTGATGATGAAATCACAGAAGTAGGCATTTTCTTTAAAATGAATTCCTTGAATTACTCATCCCCTCTCGCCAAATCCCAAAATTGATTTTATTTTCATACAATAACGTCATACCTAACCTACTAAAAGAAATTTAACACAAAAATATGAATAAGATTAGTAGGTGTAGATATAGTAGGCTGTTTTAATGCCAATTATTTGAAGCAATATTGATAAATATTTTAAAGGCAAAACACTCGGTGTAATGTTACGCTTTAAAGTGTTAGCTATTGCATGTTTTCAATAGCATGCCAAGTAGTCTTCAACTGCCTGTTTTACGGAAGGTTTCGGTTGCCATAATGATCTCATTGAGAAACATTCTGTTTCTTTGTGAGGTATTAAGCTAGAAGTGTTTGATGCTCGTTAGTTTGCCTGTTCCATTGTTGTATACCTTGTTCTCATTTGAGAACGTGACATTACGTACTTGGACTGGTCTTGGTTTGCATTACGAATGTCGTCGATGAAGTAGAAGATGCTTACTCTTCCGGAACACCTGGTTTTATTATATTTGTCCTTTTTTAAGAGTCTCCTTGTAAAGCTTCCTTTTGTCCATTTTTTGCCTAATTTTATGGAACTTGAGTTTGGATTATAATTATGTTGACATGTTGGTATTTTCTTGAATTTTTGTATTGATAGAATGGAAATTTTTATGTACATTATAATCATAATATTTTAAGTTTCAATATGAGCTCACACTAACAATCATAATCAATTGTGAAAGCATATCTTTTTGTCGATTATGGGGACGTGTTTATCTACATTCTGTCATTAGTCGAGTTCTCGATATTATTTGCTTAATCATTACACGATGTCTCCATTTCGTGTTTCAGTATCCAATTTAGATATAGAAAATGCTGGCTCATCTTCCAGAAACTTTCAAATTGTTAATTTTAATTCCAACTGTCGCCGTAAAAACAAGCAGATGAAGAACTACATTAAATATATTTCTTATATTCTAAACGTAATGGAAGTGTTCTGCTTCCTTATATAACCTCCTTTCTGATTCTACTTCGATATGTTTCCTGTTCGTTCTACTATACATTTATTTGATATGGGGTGGAGTTTCTAGCATATATTGGTGTCACAAGTGACAAATTGAAACATGATAAAAAACAATAACTATATATTGTCGACATTACGAGATTTAATACAACCGTGACACTACATATTTCGATTGAACAAGGTTTACATGGCGAGTATTGTCGATGAAGCAGAAGGCGCTTACTCTTTCGGAACACCTGGTCTAATTTAATCCTTTTCCATGTGTCCACGTGTATTTTTTTCATATTTTGCCCCAGATTCATCTAGTGTAAACTTGGATAATGATTATGTTGATGTTTTCTTACTGTTTTTGCCCTAGTTTTATTAGATTAGGGTTTGGATTATGATTGTTTTGATATGTTGATTTTTTAAAAACAGAGTGGTCATTATAACGTAAGGCTTCTATATCAATTTAAAGTCCCGCTGAATACAACGACCATCATGGTTCATCTTAGCAATATTAAAACAATAAATGGTAACCAGATGGCGTATACTGTTGATACGAAGTATACCTCATCTGGAGGCAGTTTGTTGTTTGTATTTCTGATCTCCAAAACTGACGTCAACAAATTCAAATCCGAGGACAGCCGTAATAATACAGTTCCTCGTGTCATTGTAAGTAACAACTGTGTGATCTGATAAAGCCACACGCTTAACCTAATTATTTATATCAAACTTTAACAAAAAAATTACTTTGAGACCGACGCCTAGCAGATAAAGTTGACAAACTTGGTAATCAAGTATGTTATGGCGAAATAGCATGTTTTGTAGCAAAATCACATGTTTGACAAAACAAATTGTTCTGTTATAACTTGATAGCTTTGTAAAGATACATTTTTGTGAATCTAAGTCAAACAACTTGGGATATGACAGTACACAGTATATTATAGTGAAGTGAAAGTGACCGACGGCCAGATTTGTTTACCAAGAAAGACATCCAGACGGACGTATAAAGTCTGATGTTCGTCCTTCTGTTTTAGATAGAACTAAAATGGAAACATGTAGTAGAATAGAAATATACTATTATTGAGAAGTACGTAACGGACATAGCGAGCTGACACCTGACAAAAGTTGACTTTTTATATGACATTTATGGCAAAACTGTGGGTGCGTTATTGGGTCAATTTAAGTAAAATATGTCCGTAGTTTTGTGGCTTCCTCTGCCATGTCTTTCTCACTGCGTCTTCCCGTCGACAGGTCGTTGTCGTGATTCTGAAGCTGAAGAACAGCAGAAACATTACCAGCTTTTGACAACTGTGGAATTATTAATTTTTGTTAGGGTTCCATACATTAATTTCAGGGGCATTCATGTGATACAAGTTCATATGTTTATGAAATGATGAACAGCTGCAAATTTACATCAATGTATATATATTTCTCCATGTTATCAAGTGTCAAATGATAAGCAATTTTCTGGAAAAACACGAAATTTTAAAGCATCAGGAACATAAAGAAAACTCTCAACACTTTTCTAGAGCATATTGTACTTAGAACTAAACAATATTGTGAATTAATGTTTGTATTGTCACAACTGATATCTCGAGCATTTAATGTCGAATGATCTCATTCTACTTTAAAAGAGAAAGAAAAGACAACAACTTACCTTTGAATATATTTCATCGTTTTGCTCAAAATCCCCTGCTCGTCTTGGCAATATGTGCACATGGACATGCTAGAAATGATGATTACACAAATATTTAATGAAAAATTTTAATCTTTCGTAGGAATGTTTTACAGTCCAATTACTAACGGACGATAAGAAATTGACAGAGACAGATGGCAACACCACAGAGACTAGCATTACCGAAGACATCACCGTAAAAATCCAACTATGGACCAGCAGTTTAGCTTCTATGGAAAGCTGATTGCGACGTACATTATATTCGTTTTTAAAAAGTTTCATTTGTTACCATTCTCGGTATCGCAATCGCCTTTATAACTATCATTACGTAAATAATCAATATCATTTGGTGAGTCCGAATAAACACTTGTACAACCATTCCCATTATTAATGGACTGTATATGTGTTACAGGGGAGCGTATTTCATGCATTTTCCTATATACATATGAATGAATAGACTACTTTACAACCATTTTTTCTCCAACTGACACTGTCATTGGCGGATTACATCTGCCACATACATTTTTTCTGTATTCGGCAGTGACGGAAAACAGTTGTCTTTTAGCACGTGCGGTAATTCGACAGAATAACTTTCTGAATTTACTTTAAAAATACTCTTAATAATGTAAATAACTATTGAAATAAGTGATTTATATGTTGTAATTAATGAGTTTATTGACGAAAATTCATGAAATCCGTTCGAACTACATTTCTACGCGGAGCAATTATTTTGGCGTAAGTCATCAAACAAACTTCAGCGTAATGTCAACGACAGGTAAATAAAGCTTGAACAACAAAACTACTGAAGTTTTGATTGTCTGTTTTTCAATCAATACTGCAGGATAGATAGAATTCATTATCAGTATCTCGCCGGAGGCTCGCTTCTTTTGGTTCTTCTTCACCCTCGCCAAAATACAGCTTATATTTTAAGACACTGACCATGTATACTCTATATACAAAATTATCTCCTATTTCTATGACGTCAAAGTTGACAATCAAGCCATTACTGGTGACTGCATATTGTGTCACCATGTAGGCAGCGATATAGGCCTACTGAAGTGGTAGAAGAAACCGTGAAACGAGTGAAGATTTGATATAAAAACACATATGCGTCATTAATAAAGATATTTCTAACGTTTGCTGTTCATATACATAAATTATCTGTATCCCATTTCATATCTACATATAGAGTATTTCACTTTCCTTTTTATTTCTGAAAAGAGAACATCGCTTACAATTTCTGAAGTTTTTGATAATAAAAGCCCTTATCCGCGTCTACAGTGATAAGTATATTAGATTTGCTTTGACCTTAAAACGTCTCTTGTTATCTAGCCAGCTTCCGCATTACATGTCATTTCTGTGCGTGAATGTATACATTTTCCCTTATAAGGAAAATACAGAATTACGGGAGATTGCTATTGCTGATAAGACAAACGGGTGTAAGAATCCGGACGAATGACAAATTCGTCTTTTACATAGAAGTCCTTGACCGAAGTTTTACAAACATTGCTGTCATGTCTTCAGGTGAACATAACGAGTCTAGGGTTCAATGAAAGGAGAATTATTGACATTAAAATTTTATCCTTAATTCCGCGACATCTACAAAGATCACAGAGAAGTTTGTACAAAAGAAACACACGTTAGATATTGTAGTGCATGCAACGATTAAGAGTATCATCTCATATGCAATGTAGAAATCGAAAACCAATTTGATTTCAATCTTATTGTTATCTTAGTTTTTATTGCATTTAAGACTGGATTATGTTTATGTTGACTTGTTGATATTTTCTTGTTGTTTTCATTGTTTCTATCAATACTTTTATCGTCAGCTGTGTCTGTTGATATTCCCTCATTTTTCTTGCAACTATTGATGTTACTTGATTAATAAGAGAACTTAACCCCATACACAGGAACTAATTTGCAATGTTTACCACAGTTTAAACTTCGAGCAAAAGAAATAGACAAGTAATTCTAAAACTAATTTGTTTGTTTCCATCCTTTATTTGTTGTTTGAAAATCTCTGAGTTTGAATCCAGTTTAAAAAAGAAGCTTATGAAAAGTAATTCATGACATTATGAAGAAACTTTTCAATCTATTTGGTGTCCTGAATAACCATCTATCAATTTATAATTGCTTGGATGAAACTAAATACAAATATATACGTTTCTGTTTAATTAAGACTTTTCAATAGTTAGGAATTTTTTTTATTAAGAAAAGTATTATTTATATCAGTCAGCAAACAAACAAAAGTTATTACGGAATTTTCCATCCATATGAGAGGAATGTACAAAAGACACCAACGAGAATAATGAAATCTGTCTTAAAATTTGTGATTTAAGCGTGGTAAATTTCGTGACCGTTTTCATAAATTGAAATGGAAAAGATATATATCGCATAACGCAGATTCCAAGTATTCGTGAAAACTTTGTATTGGAATAAAAAAATCGAAATGATTTTCTCAATCAATATCCTGTTGTCACAATGCATATGACGTCAATAAGCTATAGTGTCACCATAGAAACCATGGAAACCTTCAGCTCCTCAAGGTCATATTACACTTGCCAAATAATGATGATTTTCTTAAACCGATAATATGAGGAGATATGTGATAAAATCTATGAAGTTATCCTGAAAAAAAAGAATTCTGAAAAATACTACTACTAATTAAGTGAGACAGTTAAAAGTGTTCCAGATATTTCCAAAAACACATCTAATGTTATCTAAACCCCTGAAAAATATCTATTTTATTTACCAAAGCGGTGGATAACAAACTTCATCATAGTAGTAAAAAAGCCAACTATATTAGGTACTAACTTTAACCGTTTGTCCGGCTTCAGGTCCGTCCTGCATGCTGACCGTCAGAGAGGACGCTCCATAATGCTGCTCGACAACACGCGCCACCTTTTGCACAGTTGAAAACAAGTCCGATAACTCCGTCTGTGACAGATCCCCAAATCTCTCTACGCATTTTATTGTTGACACTAGTACATGTGCTATTCATTAAGGAAAACATTGTGAAAACCGAGAATTAGAATTCGATTTTTTATTAATTATCATTAAATCCTACCAAACGAATACCAAGTGGTGAAATCTGGTATAGATACGTTCTGTCATTGTGTAAGGAACATCCTGCCAAGGAACACTGATGTTGTGGTATATTTTGTCTGGTATAGATAAATGTGTCTGTCTGTAGACTCGTACGTTCTGTCATGGTGTAAGGTACATCCTGCCAAAGAACACCGATGTTGTGGTATATGTAGTATATTTTGTCTTGGGACGTTGAAAGTAATAATTTTGTGTTTATTTTGAGATGTTTTGTGGTATTGTATGTGCTTGTGTACATGTTGATGTAGTGTATAATTAAGCTAGGAGTCCTTTCAAGGATTCTCAGGGATTATATAAAAGACAAATATGTTATTAGAATTGTACAGTTTTATGCATTACTGAATTATCAATATATTATAACATAGCTCAACAATGAATCAAACTGCATTATACCGCTGTTTCCTCCTTCTATGACTCATTGGTGAAGCCATGAACTATAGGATGCGGCAGAGGATAAACAGAAAAGGTTGAAATTAAAGAAAAGGTGGTGTGCACTAAACTCACAATGTTCGGTACCAGGTGACATATACATAAAAGTTCAAGGTGAAAACTTAATCTCTCACTTCTTTCTTAATGTAACCAGCGTGCCCCGTCTTATTTCATTTGAATAGCAGCACGGTTCAGAATATACACATGTACTTGACTTTCCGCTGATATCAGTTAACAAAATTGAATGGGGTTAGAGCGCCTCAACATCTACGTTTCGACATTACTCTTGATCAGTCTTGATTTGTCCTTATTAGTCAACAAGATTTTAAACTTAGCGTACCTAACGAGTACAGCTTCAATGTATCGTTTGGTTCCAGTGTATCTAATTCCACGCGACATTTGATTCGGCTACTGTGGCCATTGTCAACATATGGACAATGCCCCTACAATGTGTCTGAACAGTGTGGCACTTTACAACCAATCACACGGTATACAGAATTTACGGCACCACGAAGGTTCTGAGTTCAAGTTCCTAATTATACACTCTTTTATGGCAAAGACATACATTTCAGCAATTCATTTTAATATTAATATATTATCAGATATAAAAAAATTCTGAATATCTTTACAACTTGACGACTTTTGTAGATTAGAGAAGATTACGAATTTTAAAGATATGAGACTCTCGATTGGATTTTGCTACAGAAAGGTTTCTTGAGTTATAGCACATTACAATCTGACGAAAGATTTTAAATATAGATAACATGCACTTTCAAATTTTCAATAAAAAAACCCGGTTATTTTCCTGACTATTCAAAGTCCAAGACATAATTCGACAGTTTTTGTAAGGTACTTCAAAATCGCAATGGATATCAAAACTTAAAAGCATTATCAAAATTGCATGATGAAGCCTGTGTATTCGATGCAGTTTACTTGTTCTGTGAAAGCAATGAATATGTGTAGTAAATATTCTATATACTTTCAGTACAAGTATATTTGCACCATGGCAATTATTAGCATGGCGGGAATCCTCGATATCATTATGTAAAAACCGGTCTTATTCTACCAGTACTTTATCATGGGACTTCCTGTAAATCAATGTTATGTCAATTTTTGGTCACCATTTCATCTATTTTGAGTTTGAATCAGATTCCGTTGACTTGTCGATATTTTTGTGCTGTTTTTGTTGAAAATACATCACGATATCGAGTATGCTTATGTTCTGTATGAGAATCTATGTGTTCTATAAGAGAATTTATGTGTTCTATATGAGTGTTTATGTGTTCTGTATGAGAACCTATGTGTTCTATATGAGAATCTATGTGTTCTATATGAGAATCTATGTGTTCTGTATGAGCATTTATATGTTCTGTATGAGTATTTATGTGTTCTGTATGAGAATCTATGTGTTCTGTATGAGCATTATGTGTTCTGTATGAGTATTTATGTGTTCTGTATGAGAATCTATGTGTTCTGTATGAGTATTTATGTGTTCTGTATGAGAATCTATGTGTTCTGTATGAGTATCTATGTGTTCTGTATGAGTATTTATGTGTTCTGTATGAGTATTTATGTGTTCTGTATGAGTATTTATGTGTTCTGTATGAGCATTATGTGTTCTGTATGAGTATTTATGTGTTCTGTATGAGAATCTATGTGTTCTATATGAGAATCTATGTGTTCTGTATGAGAATCTATGTGTTCTGTATGAGTGTTTATGTGTTCTGTATGAGAATCTATGTGTTCTGTATGAGAATCTATGTGTTCTGTATGAGAATCTATGTGTTCTGTATGAGAATCTATGTGTTCTGTATGAGTGTTTATGTGTTCTGTATGAGAATCTATGTGTTCTGTATGAGAATCTATGTGTTCTATATGAGAATATATGTGTTCTGTATGAGAATCTATGTGTTCTATATGAGAATCTATGTGTTCTGTATGAGAATCTATGTGTTCTGTATGAGAATCTATGTGTTCTATATGAGTGTTTATGTGTTCTGTATGAGCATTATGTGTTCTGTATGAGTATTTATGTGTTCTGTATGAGAATCTATGTGTTCTATATGAGAATCTATGTGTTCTGTATGAGAATCTATGTGTTCTATATGAGTGTTTATGTGTTCTGTATGAGAATCTATGTGTTCTATATGAGAATCTATGTGTTCTGTATGAGCATTATGTGTTCTGTATGAGTATTTATGTGTTCTGTATGAGAATCTATGTGTTCTATATGAGTGTTTATGTGTTCTGTATGAGCATTTATGTGTTCTGTATGAGAACCTATGTGTTCTGTATGAGAATCTATGTGTTCTATATGAGTGTTTATGTGTTCTGTATGAGAATCTATGTGTTCTATATGAGAATCTATGTGTTCTGTATGAGAATCTATGTGTTCTATATGAGAATCTATGTGTTCTGTATGAGCATTTATGTGTTCTGTATGAGCATTTATGTGTTCTATATGAGTGTTTATGTGTTCTGTATGTGTGGTGTGTTTATACGTGAACCAGTATGAAGATGTAAACCAATAAATGACTGATACTGTGAATCGATTCGATTTGTATGGTAAAATGTGGATTCAATTTTTTTTGAAAAAAAATAGTAATCCTGCACTACTCTACATCAATATAAACTTTTTATATCGATATTTGAAATTCATTCTTCAACAATTTTATTTATTTTATGAAAGGATATGACCCTGAACTACCGGTTTGACGTTGACAAAACAAAAACTCTTAGCAGAGCGATGGAACACACAGGAACTAGGGATGACATGTCCTCCGAAATCGTACACTGTACTGTTAACAGATTCTATAATAAAAAACATACATATCTGTATTTTATTTTATTTATGTCAGAATTCAGATATAACCTACTGTAAAATGTAAAATCTTTTTGTTACTTTCGAGGGAGATCACATACAATGAGTTAACACTTCAAAGAGCAATTTGATCTTCCAGAGTTACTGCCCTTCGTTTAGTACATGATGGTATAGCGTTAAGCTTGAAAGCCGACGGGGACCGAAAATGGTAAAAGAGTTGATAATATTTATTGAAATACATAAACTTTACCTGTTGCTGGATTTTGTATATCCACGAAATGAAGTGAATGGGAATTTATTTCTTGTTATTTCATCCGAGATCGAGGAAATGTATCATTCTACAGTTTACCGATTGCACGTGGCCCGTGTGATCATGGACGACTTACCGAGATTGTTTAAGTGTATGTGGCCATAAAGGTCATGACGGCGGTGATTCCAGACCGGCATGTCTCTGCGAACTTTACGTAGAAAAGACAGGTCGACATCAGCCACACAAAGCCCTGGGTCTTCCTCACATTGTGCCACAATAGTTCCCCATGGATCAATGACCTTAAAACAACAACCAATGTAAGGAGATGAACAGACTGCAAGTGCCGACTACTTATTTCCGAATTATCATTCTTATGTAATGAAATACGGTTAAAACTTCATCAACAGCTTGCGGACCCACTACCTCAACACTTCAGCCAAACATCATACACTGAATTTAACTCTCACAAAACAATTACCTCAACACGTCAACAGAGCATAACATTTATCTCTCACCGAGACGGTAATCCAAAACATCAACCAAACATCAAATTTATCTCTCACGGAGTCACTACCCAAACTTACCAACAGAATATTCAATTTAACTCTCAGGGAACCAGTTCTACAATATCAGTTTTGTCTCTTATGGTACAACTTCCTCAACACACAGAATATTCAATTTAACTCTCATGAAACTACTGCCTTTAAAAATAAATCAAACGATTAAATTCTTATGCAGCCACTACTCAAACATATCAATCAAAAAGTTTAACACTCGTGGAGTCACTACTTTAACACATCAATCAAACGATTAAACTCACGTAGAGTCACTACTTAAACACATCAAACATTTAATCCATCTCTAACGGAACCAATACACCAGCAAGCACATTAACAGAACATTAAAGGTATCTTACGAAACCCCTTCCTAAAGACACCGTAATAGAACTGAATTAATCGAGATTTATGTATAAAGACAAACGAGATTATGTTGACACAGCAAATATGAATTAAAGGATGCTTTTTATTAAATCACGTCTGATCGCATTAACAGACATGAAAACTGCGTCGATTACTCCAATCAAGAAAGCATGAAACCTTATCGAATCATATCTAATATATCTTCTTACCGATGAAAACATTTCCTGTCTCATGCCACACTTGTCAAATCTATTTGTTGAGAAACTGTAAGGAATGCGTTTCCGTTCGGCTAATAAGAATCCTTATATGTGACATAATGCAAAATTGATTTGAAACAATTATATACATCAACATAATGTTCAATTACCTCATCTGCGGTGTACAGATTGAACGAGGGATATTGTTATACAATCTACTTAAGACACAATGTTGCTTGTCACAACAAATAGTCATTCTAAATCGTAACAAGCTGACGTAGGACTAACACATGTTTGATAAGGTATTCTAGACAGGATGACAATGATAACACCTCAGGGATTAAAAAGCGACATAAGATACAAATGTGCTTTTAATATAAATCAACAAGGTTTATTAGTGTTTCTGTCTCTTTAAAGACACGTGTAATGCCATTCCTTGAGAGTCCAAATTGTATCTTCGCTCCATAATTGAAAGTAATATGTAAATATGAATTTATTAAAACTAAAAAAAAACCCTCAAAACATCAATAAAATACCAACATGGCAACATAATCATAATTCAAATTCCATAAATCTAGGGCAAAATATGAACAAAATAAAGATTTACACGGAGACTCCTGAAAAGGTACAAGGAGAATAAGACCAGGTGTTCCGGAAGAGTAAGTGTGATTACTAAAATGTTTTGCTGTATCTTTAATTTGGAAGTATTTAGATATTTCTGTAAATTATAAAATTGATTTTATGTGAAATAGTTGTAAATTACTTGGCTATGTTGGGATTTAACGATTTTCAGCTTGATAATCCTTAAGACCTGAAGTCTCAATCCAATCAGTTTGTAAAAACCTTCAAAAGTTAAATAATCATTTTACATACCATACCCCACTCTGAACCCACAAAATTGCTTTGGGCCCAAATCTGATGTTTTTGAATGACATACAATTTGAAGTTGTGTACTAAAGCGTCTTAGCACTATATGTGCGTACGCCTATCCCCGAATGATCTCAGAGTGTCCAAACTTGGCACTCCGCCTTTGTATATTAAGCTTACAGGTCACATGTGCCTTGATTCACTTAGCCTTAATTTCAATTCACAGTGTGAATCCGCATCTAGAGTTACCTCAATATTACAATATTAGACTCAATATCCTTTATATTGCAACTATAGTTGTCGTTCTTTAAACTCTGAAGTAATTCCAGATACCATTAGTCCAATCACCCCTCCTTCTACTTACCATAGTGTGACCATATGAGGCACGCTTGTCATTATGTTTTCCTGTTTGTGCTGCAGCAACAACATAACACTGATTTTCCACTGCCCGACTGCGTAGCAACACCTAAAAACATTGACAAAAACTTTGACCACAAACAATAGTTGTACCTAGTCATCGACCAAAGCATTGACCACAAATTTCAATAAAAGGACCGAGAGACTTTATTCCCTTTTTAAAAGTTGAATATTTTCTTTTCTCTTCTTTCCTAAGTTTTTTGTCTTAATGATATGAAAGTGAAAATTCTTCAAGAAATAGTCATAGTTATCTTTAAATTGTCACCTGTCTGATCAGTCCCAAAATTTAAAGGACATAACTAGGCAGAATGGGTAAGCTATGTATAAAATTTGAGAAAGGTCTACCTTCTGACTAAATAGCGATATCAAACCCTTGTCGTGAAAATCACCGACGGTGGATTATCGGTCTTTGTTTTTTTTCAAAAACAGAAAGAGCACAACAGGGGCTCAATGTATATTTACATACGAAATTGGATCCATCCAGTCCTTCCCATGAAATAATGATAACAGATTTTCATAGTCAAAATCAACCGTCGACCATCTTGTTTTTCTGATTAGTAAAAAAATTCAAGAAAAAAAAAAAAAAAAAACGGCACAACTTTACAATAAGGCTAAGGTATGCAACATCTTTGATAAAGATTCATCAAGTATTTTTCTCAAGAAATAAGGATGACAAACTTTAGTTGTGAAAAAATGTCGGTAGCCGTAAAGCCGTTCAGTTTGCCTTACCATATCCAAAACAGTAAAACTGGAGACCATGCAATCCAAGAAATTTCTCTCCAGTACTTTGATATTTGAAATCAATGACGACAGTCAGTCAGATTCGGATCATCCCCAAACTCAAGAAGCCACAACAAGGGACAAAAGGGTACCTTCATATGAAATGTGGGAAAAACCCACCCAGTTTTAAAGAAATAACAATGGCAATATTCCCTTGTCAAATTCCATTATTGCCGACTGTCAATCATTTCACTTTTATGTCAGTCCCATAAGAATACCACTAGGGATCAAGGAGAATCTAGCAGAACATATCAAATTTATGAAAAAATCCAATCCACTACTTTAAAGACAAAGCGATAACAAATTTCCATAGTGAAAATTCCTGATGTCCACATGTCAGTCATATTTGATTCCCGACCATTCCCAAAATCACAGGAGCACAACAACTAGCAACCGTGGGAGACCAACCGATGAGATTTGAGAAAGATCCATGCAGTACTTCTATAGAATTAGTGATAACAATGAACGGATCACGGACACGAGATACTTTGAAGAGCTCACCAGCTGATGATGATGTCCAATCATTAATACCTACAGCGTGACCAAAACACTGACCACTATTTTACCTTCTTAACATCTGGTCAGTTAACAATGTCTTGACCAAAATCATTAACAATTAACTCCTAAGCCCGGATTCCAAGTGAGCTTGTCCTAAAGTCACTGTGCTGAGTGTGGTGAACATACCTTCCAGTGACCTCTGCCTATAGTCAGTATGATGTGTGGGGTGAAATTGCCTTATATTGAACTAATCATGTAGTCATTGTGATGGCTGAAGTGAACTGCATGCAAATGTAGTCACTGTGGTGAATGAGGTTGACTTACCTCCCACTGAGCTCATCCTGTAGTCAATGTGGTGAATGAGGTTGATTTACCTCCCACTGAGCTCATCCTGTAGTCACTGTGGTGAATGAGGTTGACTTACCTCCCACTGAGCTCATCCTGTAGTCAATGTGGTTAGTGATGTACTTACTTCCCAGTGAGGTATTATGATGGTCGCTTTGATGTGTGAGATGAGCTTGCCTCAAAGTGAGCACGTAATGCAGTCACTGTAATAGAGGAGGTAGACTTACCCCATTGAGCTTGTCCTGTAATCTACAATGTGAGGGGATAACTTGACTCCAAGTGAGCTCGTCATGTAGTCACTGCCATTGCTGAGGTGAACTTATCTCCCATTGTCCTGTAGACACTTTGATGGACAAGATGAACTCATCTCCTTTAACTAGTAGGCAGTGGATAGGTGCAGCGAACTTACCTCCCAGTGAGCTCGTCCTGTAGTCACTGTGAAGGCTGATGGGTAGGTCAGGATTTCAGCTCCCTGTTGTGCGAGTGCTATCGACATCTCTGGAAACCTCAGATCGTAACACTGACCTTGTTAGGGATATATCACTTTATGTAAAGCATTCAAAATAGTAATCACCAACAACAAACGAAGCTATATGTTCTAACCCAATTTTCAAAAACGTTACGAATACATAATGAACAGGTGCGAATTCTGTGTCGTTTGCCGAGATCAGTATATATGGTAATGTTACATTCTCTTTCACTAGACACGGGTATTCATGCTATTACGGGGATGAATTTCCTTGCCAGAGGGGCAGAAAGGGAGATCCCCAAGTTAAGTAGATATGACATCACATCATCAATGCATGTTCACCAGAACATCAATTTTATAACATCAACAATACAGAGCATCATATGTATAGAAGCCTGCAGGGGTAAGAAAAAAACTCAGTACCAGTATTTACCATCTTTTGCTTGGAATATCTTCAACTTTTAATTTTGACAAATGTTTTGGGTGTGCACATTATACAAGCAGAAGCTTTGTTTTACCATTTTCAGCCCCAAAAAGTACTTGCGCACATTACATCGGATTTTACAGTATTTGCCATCTTGCCTGGAAGGGGATGAAATATTTTTGAATTGTTTTGAAAATGAGAAAAATGATGAACGTGTAAACTAATTAGGCATCAAATTACATCGCATTTACCAAGATGTCTTATTGTACATGTTTTCTTTAGATTAACAGCCTTCATGCTTTAGATAATGTAAACTTAAGTGAAAACAATTTAGTCATTTAATGATATCTTAAGCATACAGTTCTGGCTTTATATAGACTTCGTATAAAGGATACAATTCCTAGTCCAACATTTCCAACAGGGGAGGAAACAGGGCAGGTAATTCTGTCTCCAGGAATGGTGTAGTCACTCTCACACAACCGGAGGTCACCAAGATCAAGGTCAAACAAATGAACTTTACTATAGGTTGCTTTAATTTCCCCTTGGTCGTCAATGACAACGTGTGTGTTTAGGACACGGTTACTATCGTTCTCGTGGCCCTGTGGGATAATTGAGAGCATCAGTTTAATTATGGTCGATCATCATTCATATATAGCAGAGCTTAATTGTATAATATCTTATACTATTGTACAAACTTATTTCTGATAAGCCTTCATAAAAAAACAATGTTACAATCTGGAAAATATTGTCTATGCTTAGTTAAGCTGACATAATCAACCTCATGAGAAGTGAGCTTGATACTTGATATCTAAAACAAAACATACAGGTTACCACTGAATAACTAGTGGTTCTCAGCAGTATAAAATCGATACAAGTCATGTAACCAACGATGTAAATAAGAAACTTTAATGGGAAAATAGATTACTCTGGAATAAAGGTGTCTCTGATCTTTACTTCACAATCGTCATTTGGCGGGTGCCTAGGTAGACGTGACATTTTCTATACATCGATATGTCATTTGGCGGGTGCCTATGTAGACGTGACATTTTCTATACATCGGAAAGTCATTTGGCGGGTGCCTAGGTAGACGTGATATTTTCTATACATCGGTATGTCATTTGGCGGGTGCCTAGGTAGACGTGACATTTCCTATACATCGATATGTCATTTGGCGGGTGCCTAGGTAGACGTGATATTTTCTTTACATCCATATGTCATTTGGCGGGTGCCTAGGTAGACGTGATATTTTCTATACATCGATGTCATTTGGCGGGTGCCTGGGTAGACGTGATATTTTCTATACATCGATATGTCATTTGGCGGGTGCCTGGGTAGACGTGATATTTTCTATACATCGATGTCATTTGGCGGGTGCCTGGGTAGACGTGATATTTTCTATACATCGGTATGTCATTTGGCGGGTGCCTGGGTAGACGTGATATTTTCTATACATCGATATGTCATTTGGCGGGTGCCTGGGTAGACGTGATATTTTCTATACATCGGTATGTCATTTGGCGGGTGCCTAGGTAGACGTGATATTTTCTATACATCGATATGTCATTTGGCGGGTGCCTAGGTAGACGTGATATTTTCTATACATCGATATGTCATTTGGCGGGTGCCTAGGTAGACGTGATATTTTCTATACATCGATGTCATTTGGCGGGTGCCTGGGTAGACGTGATATTTTCTATACATCGATGTCATTTGGCGGGTGCCTAGGTAGACGTGACATTTTCTATACATCGATATGTCATTTGGCGGGTGCCTAGGTAGACGTGATATTTTCTATACATCGGTATGTCATTTGGCGGGTGCCTAGGTAGACGTGATATTTTCTATACATCGATGTCATTTGGCGGGTGCCTGGGTAGACGTGATATTTTCTATACATCGATATGTCATTTGGCGGGTGCCTGGGTAGACGTGATATTTTCTATACATCGATATGTCATTTGGCGGGTGCCTAGGTAGACGTGATATTTTCTATACATCGATATGTCATTTGGCGATATTTTCTATACATCGATATGTCATTTGGCGGGTGCCTAGGTAGACGTGATATTTTCTATACATCGATATGTCATTTGGCGGGTGCCTAGGTAGACGTGATATTTTCTATATATATATCAAACCAAAATGTTTTTTTTTGTTCGGAGTCAGAAACCTGATTTTATACTCAATAGATATACAAAAACAAAATATTCAGATGAAAAATCAAAACGCGCCATTCCAATATTCACTTCTTTAAAAAGTTACAGTTTCAAAAAGGTCAATATTGAATTTAAATATATAACAATATATTAATATTGATTAAATGATAGTATAGATATCTGTGAGGTATCTCCAATCTGATCATAATGGATCTGACAACAGCTGATGAATCTTTTCTTATACAGAGCCAGATCTGGCAAAACACAGATCATCTTTGGGAGAAAATGTAAGCAAAGTGACATTTTATAAACAAACGCTTAAATAAGACAAAAAATTCAGTTTCAAAAACATTTTGCAACAAATATATCATTATTTTTAAGTATGAACTGTAGGGTCGTGACATCTATCTCATTCAGTATGGTATGAAATGTTGATGAATCTTTTCTTATACAGAGCCAGATCTGGCAAAACACAGATCATCTTTGGGAGAAAATGTAAGCAAAGTGACATTTTATAAACAAACGCTTAAATAAGACAAAATAATTCAGTTTCTAAAACATTTTGCAACAAATTTCATTATCTTTAAGTATGAACTGTAGGGTCGTGAACTCTATATCATTCAGTATGGTATGAAATGTAGGGTCGTGAACTCTATCTCATTCAGTATGGTATGAAATGTAGGGTCGTGAACTCTTGTTCATTAATATCTGGTCATAGCTCTTCAATATCAGGGGTGACAGGGCATATAACAGGGTCAACGGACCTTATAATCAATCATGTATGAAGAAGACATTCTGTGTTATGTTTGAACATTATTTTGACCAAATCTGATCCAAAAATTGATTTACACTTTTTGAAATACTAATCAAAAGTAAAGAAATATCAGGTAATTCTAGCTTTTATTTAAACAGTAACTCTTCAGGAATTGTTCCCCACTCTCATCTCTCCCCACCCCAAGTTTGGATTTCAGCTAATAAGAGAAAGTTGGAGACTTGCTTGTTCATGAAATCCACCAATAGAAATCCAGATGCTTGTTTGTTGGGCAAGTTTTCGGTAATTACTGATTGTCTCTCCTTCAATGCTCTCTGCCATTTCCATGCTCCTCTGTTTCGACTCCCCGATAAAGTCTGCAGCTTCAGGTAAAAACACCATCTGTATTGAAGTGTGATATAATGGTTTACATCAGGATGTTACAACAAGGACAAATAATAGCAAAACCTACACCATCAATATCAATGTATTTAGTAGTCACTGAGTTCATGGCTGGTGATAAAGCACCAGAAACTCCACTGTAGGTATATATTTGAACAGCATGTGAAATTTGTCGTTATTTACACTGTATAGCTATAGTAAACTTTTAATCAAAGAAAGTTAAGTTTTTCTTAAAAAGAGAAAGTGAGAGTTCTTTTGATAAGAAAAAGTTTGAGTTCTTTTGATAAGAGAAAGTTTGAGTTCTTTTGATAAGAGAAAATTTGAGTTCTTTTGATAAGAATTTGAATTTCAGTTAGGAATTTTTTTATATTTCTAATATCCACTGTGCTATAAATTTCTTTTTAACAACTTTGTTGTTGTTCATTGATTTATCTGTTAAATGGATTTTACTGAAGAGAAAAGAGGGGGGATATGGAGATGAAGAGGAGGGGGATATAAAGATGAGGAGTAGGGGAATAGGGAGATGACGAGGAGGGGAATATGGAGATGACGTGGAGGGGAATGTGGAGATGAGGAGGAGGGGAATGTGGAGATGAGGAGGAGGGGAATGTGGAGATGAGGAGGAGGGGAATATGGAGATGAGGAGGAGGGGTAATATGGAGATGAGGAGGAGGGGGAATATGGAGATGAGGAGGAGGGGAATATGGAGATGAGGAGGAGGGGAATATGGAGATGAGGAGTAGTGAGATAGGGAGAAGGGAGAGGAGGGGGAATATGGAGATGAGGAGGAGGGGAATATGGAGATGAGGAGGAGGGGGAATATGGAGATGAGGAGGAGGGGTAATATGGAGATGAGGAGGAGGGGAATATGGAGATGAGGAGGAGGGGAATATGGAGATGAGGAGTAGTGAGATAGGGAGAAGGGAGAATATGGAGATGAGGAGGAGGGGAATATGGAGATGAGGAGGAGGAGGGGGAATATGGAGATAAGAAGGAGGGGGAATATGGAGATGAGGAGGAGGGGAATATGGAGATGAGGAGTAGTGAGATAGGGAATATGGATTTAGAGGAACAGATGGGGAAGGAGAAAGGGAGCAGACAGGGTTATTGAGAAAAGGAGAAGAGTTAACATGGAAATATTAGTCAGAGAGGGTTATCGAGATGAGCCAAAGAGGGGTCAATTAATGGAGACAAGGAGGTGAAAGTTCATTGACAATGGTGATGATAAAAGTTTATTCTGAAGATACAATTAGAATCAAAACTCTAATTAGTTATTAGAATAATTAATAGGCTTTTTTTCTTAGAAAAGATATTTCTACAATACAATTCATATGATGTTCAGGGACCAGATGACAGAGAACAGCTGAATGCCTAGATGTCAAATTAGAGAAGGTTTTATGATACAGAACAAATGTAGTTTAAGAGCACAAGGTTTCAGAATACAGAATACTTAGGAGTCAGACTAAATCATTGTAGCTTTGCTAAACAGTCTTCCCTTGGTTTTCTTTCCTCTAATTCCGAAGGTTGAGAATATCGAGACCCTAAAAACATTATAATGGGGATTTCTCAAACAATAATCATTCTTGCTTGATTTTAATTACAGGTATTTGTTTAATGAAACCCTTTTGATCTTGTCCAGCTTGTACAGATGAAAACTCAATTGTGAAAAGATATACTATATTTCTATATTTGATATTATTTTTACTGTTTTACTTATCAAGTATATTTCATTCTGCCTCATATCATCAGAAACAGTGTCATCTTGGACTGAGTTGAATTCTAAGTTGTCAGGCACTCATATAGAATTTTACTGAACAATCAAAGTGGGCCTGTTCCCAAATGAAGCTGATAAATATCTAGTTACCCCTGAACAACAAACAGGTGGGCTTATTTGAAAGTGACCAGGTGTGTATAATGTGTAAGTATAGGTCAAAGGTCATTTTTACCCTTTTCAGTTTTATCTACGTATTAGGACGGAAAATTCCAACGAACACTCTAACATAAATTTTTGTTTGTAAGCTGGATTCCAAAATTGATTTTCTACAGACACTCTGACCACTTGTATAGAAACAATTTTGTTTACACCTGTTAAAGTTGCTTACCTGTACACCATTATCCTTGGCCTGGTGTATAAATTGTCTACAAGTTTCAAAGTTTTTTTTCTTGTCAGCAGTACAGGTAAGTTGAACAACCCCTATTTTAGATTTTGTTGATGTTACTGATGGGGCTGCTGTTTCTGTAGCCATGCTTGCTCTCACCACTCTGATCCAGTCTGCTCTGATGGAGGACAATGACTGCCAAGCAAGGCGAGACAATCTCCTACTGGTGAAAGTCAGACACACAGTCATGACATGCTGTAATGTTTATCTGTGAATGAAAGTAAAGGCATTGTTATAAATGCATTGTCATGACCAGACACCAATGTATAATCTGTAAGATCTCACACACATGTATAGCTATATAGTGACAGCTGGGATCTCCATCCCTGTGTACTTCACACACATGTACAGCTATATAGTGACAGCTGAGATCTCCATCCCTGTGACCAATATTACCATGTACTTCACACACATGTACAGCTATATAGAGACAGCTGAGATCTCCTCCCTGTGACCAATATTACCATGTACTTCACACACATGTACAGCTATATAGTAACAGCTGAGATCTCCATCCCTGTGTACTTCACACACATGTACAGCTATATAGTGACAGCTGGGATCTCAATCCCTGTGTACTTCACACAAATGTACAGCTATATAGTGACAGCTGGGATCTCCATCCCTGTGTACTTCACACACATGTACAGCTATATAGTGACAGCTGGGATCTCCATCCCTGTGTACTTCACACACATGTACAGCTATATAGTGACAGCTGAGATCTCCATCCCTGTGACCAACATTACCATGTACTTCACACACATGTACAGCTATATAGTGACAGCTGAGATCTCCATCCCTGTGACCAACATTACCATGTACTTCACACACATGTACAGCTATATAGTAACAGCTGAGATCTCCATCCCTGTGACCAACATTACCATGTACCTCACACACATGTACAGCTATATAGTGACAGCGGGGATCTCAATCCCTGTGTACTTCACACAAATGTACAGCTATATAGTGACAGCTGGGATCTCCATCCCTGTGTACTTCACACACATGTACAGCTATATAGTGACAGCTGGGATCTCCATCCCTGTGTACTTAACACACATGTACAGCTATATAGTGACAGCTGAGATCTCCATCCCTGTGTACTTCACACACATGTACAGCTATATAGTGACAGCTGAGATCTCCATCCCTGTGTACTTAACACACATGTACAGCTATATAGTGACAGCTGAGATCTCCATCCCTGTGACCAACATTACCATGTACTTCACACACATGTACAGCTATATAGTAACAGCTGAGATCTCCATCCCTGTGTACTTCACACACATGTACAGCTATATAGTGACAGCTGGGATCTCCATCCCTGTGACCAACATTACCATGTACTTCATACACATGTACAGCTATATAGTGACAGCTGAGATCTCCATCCCTGTGTACTTAACACACATGTACAGCTATATAGTGACAGCTGGGATCTCCATCCCTGTGACCAACATTACCATGTACTTCACACACATGTACAGCTATATAGTGACAGCTGAGATCTCCATCCCTGTGTACTTCACACACATGTACAGCTATATAGTGACAGCTGAGATCTCCATCCCTGTGACCAACATTACCATGTACTTCACACACATGTACAGCTATATAGTGACAGCTGGGATCTCCATCCCTGTGTACTTCACACACATGTACAGCTATATAGTGACAGCTGGGATCTCCATCCCTGTGTACTTCACACACATGTACAGCTATATAGTGACAGCTGGGATCTCCATCCCTGTGTACTTCACACACATGTACAGCTATATAGTAACAGTTGAGATCTCCATCCCTGTGTACTTCACACACATGTACAGCTATATAGTGACAGCTGGGATCTTCATCCCTGTGACCAACATTACCATGTACTTCACACACATGTACAGCTATATAGTGACAGCTGAGATCTCCATCCCTGTGTACTTCACACACATGTACAGCTATATAGTGACAGCTGGGATCTCCATCCCTGTGTACTTCACACACATGTACAGCTATATAGTGACAGCTGAGATCTCCATCCCTGTGACCAACATTACCATGTACTTCACACACATGTACAGCTATATAGTGACAGCTGGGATCTCCATCCCTGTGTACTTCACACACATGTACAGCTATATAGTGACAGCTGGGATCTCCATCCCTGTGTACTTCACACACATGTACAGCTATATAGTGACAGCTGGGATCTCCATCCCTGTGTACTTCACACACATGTACAGCTATATAGTGACAGCTGGGATCTCCATCCCTGTGTACTTCACACACATGTACAGCTATATAGTAACAGCTGGGATCTCCATCCCTGTGTACTTCACACACATGTACAGCTATATAGTGACAGCTGAGATCTTCATACCTGTGTACTTCACACACATGTATAGCTAGGATACACATTCATTTGCAGTGCGAAAGCTACATTTATATACCACATCTGACAAGAGACCTTGAGCGTAGGAATGCAACTGGAAAGAAAATAGAGTTATTTTACCAGGGATTTAACCCTCGACCTCTCTGTCTCTAGTTGGATGCTCTACCACTGATTTACACGGAAATTCTCTAAAATGCAAAGCTAGAGTTTGACAATGATTCCATTTACAATTGAAATCTGACACAGGAACACTAGTCACAGATTAATTTTGGAATAAAAAAATAAGCATATACCTGTATAGACATCATACATTGTATATCAAATATATGCAAGATTTTAACACAAAAAAAAATCAGTTTTTTTTTTTCATGAAAGAGCAGTTGCCTGTGCAGGTAGGTTACAGTTGGGGCAATCACTGTCCTCCATATATCAGTAAATATCCGGAATTTATTTAATATCAAGAAAATAAAAAATTGATAACCAGTTTGAATTATTGAGATCCATCAAACAATGTCGATATTAGATTTAGTTCTGGGTATTTTCAATTATTTCTGGGCATTTAGATTTATTTCTGGGTATTTTCAATTATTTCTGGGCATTTGGATTTATTTGGTGGCGATTTATGGACACCCATAAATAGCGACATTTTTCCCAATTGGCTTGTCATGCTTTGGTATATACAACTTGACTATGATTGAGATGGAGAGAGGTCAGATTACATATATATAGCGTAATTCAGTTAGCATCAAGATGTCAGCAAGACATTGATGTAAGCAATACGTTACGTGTTGAAGATCTATATCTAAAGTTATCTTATTCTGTTTCATGACTTAATACTGTGACATTTTCAGACGCAAGATGCGCACAGCATTATAGATATTTACCTGCGGCTGGTTGCAGACATCAAAGTGAAAGTCACCTCGCGTGTAACACTACAAGTCAGCAGTTACTGAAAGAGTAGCCTCCCTTCTCCCTAATGGTGCAACGTACATCTGCCAAGAGTAGGCAAAACAGGTTCGAAGCTCGACGGGGACAGAAATGTTAAAATTCTACTTTATATTTTTATAAGTTATTATTTTAAAAAATGAATACATTTATTTTGAAAACTATCACCATGAAAATAAAGCTATGATTTCTTCAGCCAACAACTTGAGCAGCTCGAGTGGTCTGTATGGACGGTGACATGTAGCTAGGCATGTTTGAAGAGTAATGATAAGGGAAAACGAAACGAAAGCTAAAAATAAATAATTCCCCAACCCCCACATATTCCATTATTACATACGAAAATCTTAATACCCTTCACGATTTTACTAACCTGTAGGACTATGTTTCAAGAAACGTATTGATATTAAGGTTCGCTAAAACCATAGGTTAATTACGGGTGAGTCATGGTATTGTAAGTGTTCATATTCTAAGCAATTCAGAAGGGGACCCAAAGAAATCCAACCAACTGTGTAAGTGACCAGTCTTTGACGGCTGGATCACCGAACGTTCAGCGGACTGTGGTTATTGATTTATCATTCGAATTACCCCTCACCTGGCCATTTTTTCATGAATATTATAAACAAAACTTAAACATGCAAAAAGCGTAAAAACGTATGTGGATTTAGTTATTATAGGAATTTGATAAATAATGCACATATGACCTTCAATGTACAGGTACATTTATTTGTACCTCTATCTAATTGAACCAGCATAATTGTCATCTTTATCCTGTAGATATTGAGAGTCCCCCTCATTAGTTTTGGTAGTAGAATGCACGTGTCTTAATTTCATCTATCTATATATCGGTATTAGGATACACGTGTCGTATTTTTATCTATTTGTCAGTATTAGGATACACGTGTCTTATTTTTATCTATATATCGGTATTAGGATACACGTGTCTTGTTTTTATCTATATATCGGTATTAGGATACACGTGTCGTATGTTTACCTATATATCGGTATTAGGATACACGTGTCGTATTTTTATCTATATATCGGTATTAGGATACACGTGTCGTATGTTTACCTATATATCGGTATTAGGATACACGTGTCGTATGTTTACCTATATATCGGTATTAGGATACACGTGTCGTATGTTTACCTATAAATCGGTATTAGGATACACGTGTTGTCTGTTTACCTATATATCGGTATTAGATTACACGTGTCGTATGTTTACCTATATATCGGTATTAGGATACACGTGTCGTATGTTTACCTATATATCGGTATTAGAATACACGTGTCGTATGTTTACCTATATATCGGTATTAGGATACACGTGTCGTATGTTTACCTAAATATCGGTATTAGGATACACGTGTCGTATTTTTATCTATATATCGGTATTAGGATACACGTGTCGTATTTTTATCTATATATCGGTATTAGGATACACGTGTCGTATGTTTACCTATATATCGGTATTAGGATACACGTGTCGTATGTTTACCTATATATCGGTATTAGGATACACGTGTCGTATTTTTATCTATATATCGGTATTAGGATACACGTGTCGTATTTTTATCTATATATTGGTATTAGGATACACGTGTCGTATGTTTACCTATATAACCGGTATTAGGATACACGTGTCGTATGTTTACCTATATATCGGTATTAGGATACACGTGTCGTATGTTTACCTATATATCGGTTTTAGGATACACGTGTCGTATTTTTATCTATATATCGTTATTAGGATACACGTGTCGTATGTTTACCTATATATCGGTATTTGGATACACGTGTCGTATTTTTACCTATATATCGGTATTAGGATACACGTGTCGTATACACGTGTCGTATGTTTACCTATATATCGGACTGTGACGATGATAAAACTGATCATGTTTACATGACCATTTAACATGGATTGCTTACCAGACATGAATGATTTATAAAATCAATAATTACAGTCACACACTATATCACTTTCCTGTTTTATCATCTTCTACCATTTACAATGTGTAAATAAATACACGGGAAATAAAACTCTGTCAAGGTCAATGATAATGACGTCATAGCATTTATAATGACATCAGGCGGAATGGAATCCATTTAATAAATATGAGAATGATAAAACATATTATACAAAGTTCTTGTGGATTGAACCAGATAGTCTCCATGTATGATACTCCGTCGAATTTGATAAAAGGGTTGAATTTTACATAGATGACTTTTATCCGAACGCTACAGTCGAATTTAACACCCGTCAAACTCGGATATCATTACAACGGTTAATTCAAATCTGGAACCTCCAGATCAACAACATACTTTTTATGCCAAGAATTTCCAGCTGTCTATCTAACTTCAAAGCATCTTTTTTTGGGAAAGGTCGTTGTGGTGTAATGGTTAGGCAGCGCTTTGATGCTTAGATCGTCAATTCGAGGCCCGGACAGTGTACGACTGAAAAATTGTCTTCGTGTTGCAGAATCCAAATATATAGTTATTGTGTAACTTACATGCATGCATGAATTTATAAATTATTTACATCTAAACATATTAAGGAGGAACTTGTAGACGTTCCTGGAAAAGATTAAGATAACACATGATATAATATATTACGTATAATCGATTTGTGTAGGAAGGAAGAAGGAGGGCACTGACACAGTAGTGTCTTCATAATCAAATCTCATCGATCAGACCTGGAAACAGACATATACTCATAAATGTTTCAGAAGAAGCCAACGGGAACGAGACATAAGATATAAAATAGTACCATACATATATAAATGTGTCAACCATAACGCTATGATATTTGTATACGGACATCAAATATGTGTTAACAAAGATGGTACCATTCCTATAACTCGTTCGCTGACAGAACCAAGACCTGGTGTCTATAATTATATTTACAGTGGAAGAACCCAGACCTGGTGTCTATACATGTATTGACAGTGGAAGAACTCAGACATGGTGTCTGTACATGTATTTACAGTGGAAGAACCCAGACCTGTTGTCTATAATTGTATTGACAGTGGAAGAACCCATACCTGTTGTCTATAATTGTATTTACAGTGGAAGAACCCAGACCTGGTGTCTATACATGTATTGACAGTGGAAGAACTCAGACCTGGTGTCTGTACATGTATTTACAGTGGAAGAACTCAGACCTGGTGTCTGTAGATGTATTTACAGTGGAAGAACCCAGACCTGTTGTCTATAATTGTATATACAGTGGAAGAACCCAGACCTGGTGTCTATAATTGTATTTACAGCGGAAGAACTCAGACCTGGTGTCTGTACATGTATTTACAGTGGAAGAACTCAGACCTGGTGTCTGTACATGTATATACAGTGGAAGAACACAGACCTGTTTTCTATAATTGTATTGACAGTGGAAGAACCCAGACCTGTGCCCGTATTCATGAAACCGTTCTCATACTCAAGCATGAATTTTGTACTCAAGCCTTATGTCTTGTTTAAGTTAAAAATTAATAAATAAGGCTGATTTTACCAAAGTTTAAAAACAGTTTAGAAAGGACTTCAAGTCAAAGTTATATTCAAGGTTTAAATTTGACATTTGTGTTATTTTATATGATTTAGGTGAATAATAAAAAAGGTTTGCTTGCGCACAAAATCTATGCTTGAGCATTGGAATGGTTTCATGAATACGGGCAATGGTGTCTATAATTATTAAATGATGATGATGATGATTATGATGATGATGATGATGATGATGGACTGTATAAGGTAGGTTGTTAGTCGACAAATCATTGTAGTAGAAGAAATGTTTTTATTTTTATTTATTTATATAAATTTGTTTCTTTATCTGTGAGAGAGAGAGCTCTTTTGAGTTGTCTAATATCCACATATCAGTAAATCCCCTTCTAGAGTGAACAGTATCACAAAATAAGTGTAAACTTGATCTTGATATCTAAGAATGGTACATAGGTAACACAAATCTTGAATAAAAGATGAATTGAGAAAGTAGTCGAGACATAACGTTGTTATGATTCCTTTTGAAACATGAATCCAATATAAACAAGGAGGTCCGAATTTTTATCGTGAGCTGAAAATCTGAATTACAATATTGAAGTAGCATTAGTTGATGCTTTCTTTTAAGGAAATGCTGATATGTAAGTAGTTTGTCCATATTAATTTGGATTCAAACACGTAATTAATGATGTGTCATTCTTAATTTGATCGCTGATGTGTCAGTCCTTAATTAGATCGCTGATGTGTCAGTCCTTAATTTGACCGCTGATGTGTCATTCTTAAATTGATCGCTGATGTGTCATCCTTAATTTGACCGCTGATGTGTTATTCTTAATTAGATCGCTGATGTGTCAGTCCTTAATTAGATCGCTGATGTGTCAGTCCTTAATTAGACCGCTGATGTGTCAGTCCTTAATTAGATCGCTGATGTGTCAGTCCTTAATTTGACCGCTGATGTGTCATCCTTAATTAGATCGCTGATGTGTCAGTCCTTAATTAGATCGCTGATGTGTCAGTCCTTAATTAGACCGCTGATGTGTCAGTCCTTAATTAGATCGCTGATGTGTCAGTCCTTAATTTGACCGCTGATGTGTCATTCTTAAATTGATCGCTGATGTGTCATCCTTAATTTGACCGCTGATGTGTCAGTCCTTAATTAGATCGCTGATGTGTCAGTCCTTAATTAGACCGCTGATGTGTCAGTCCTTAATTAGATCGCTGATGTGTCAGTCCTTAATTAGATCGCTGATGTGTCAGTCCTTAATTAGACCGCTGATGTGTCATCCTTAATTAGATCGCTGATGTGTCAGTCCTTAATTAGACCGCTGATGTGTCAGTCCTTAATTAGATCGCTGATGTGTCAGTCCTTAATTAGACCGCTGATGTGTCATTCTTAATTAGATCGCTGATGTGTAAGTCCTTAATTAGACCGCTGATGTGTCAGTCCTTAATTAGATCGCTGATTTGTCAGTCCTTAATTAGACCGCTGATGTGTCAGTCC